TATGTTTTGCCAGTGTTTGTGTAACTGCCCGATGGGTTCTTCCTGCCCACTCCACAGAGAAAATCATACCCTGAGACCATAGCATTGCAGGCAAGAAAGAACTTCATTCACGCGAAGCTGGCCCAGGCAGGAGAACTGGGCTTATCACTCACATCCATTTTCCTGAAGGCTCAGGGTTTTTATGGACAGTTTGGTGGGCAGGGAGCTAGGGAATGGGTGTGGCTGATTGGTTGGGGATGAAATCATAGGGGGGTGGAAAACAGTCTTTGTGCACTGAGTTCACCTCTGGGACCAGTTGAGTCATGAGTCACAAACCTGGGTAGGATCCGTATGAAAGATATCTCAAAAAACAATCTTAGGTTTGCTATATGTAAAATGTTCGTTCCCTGGTGCCATAAAGAAATAGCACTCGAATATAAATTTAATTCTTTCAGCAAGGCAGTCTTTATTTTCTGCAGAAAGGGTGCTCATCGCAGATGGAATAATGGGGAGAGCACATTTGAACAAAGGAAGGCATTTTTATCCCTTATGCTGTTCCTGCTACTGTGTCCTATCTCCATTGGCTGGAGCCGGACCGCACAATCTAAACTAAAACCTGATTGGCTAACAGTTTAAAACTTTTCTAAATAGGTAAAAGTAATGGAAAGACAAAGGAAAAGAGGAAGTTGCTTGTGCCAAATAGGGAAGGGGCATAGGCTGCGAGCTGGAACGTGCCTGTGAGCATGTCCAGCACAAATTTTTTGGTTAAGGTACAAGAACATAGAATGTACTATGTGCCTATGAGCATGTTTAACAGCTAGGTAGGATAGGGCTTAACAAAGAGTTATTGGCATAAAGAGGCTTAAAGGAAGTTAGTCTTTAAAAGAAACTATTATTTCTAACACGATTTACTCTTTAACAAGAAGGGAAACTTTGAAGAGGAACTTTTTACTTTCTACAGGTTCTACAATAATGATGTTATCTATAGGAACGATCGAGGAAGTCATGAATTTTGCGACGTCTGGCCACAGGACTCCCGAGCAGTAAGGGATTATAGAAACTACACCTACATTTCAGTGGAGTTTAGGCCCTTCCAGTTCCCATTATCATATTCTTGCTTACAAAGGTGGTTTTCAGTCCCTGATCAAGGAAAGGGGCTAGTTACAGGGAGGGGCTGTTATCCTTGCTCCTAAGTTAAACTGGAAACCACATTTCTCCTAAAGTTAGCTTGGCCTACACCCAGGAGTGACCAGGGACAGTTTGGAGGTCAGAAGCAAGATGAGGTCAGCTATGTCGGATTTCTTTTACTGTCATAATTTTGCAAAGGCAGTTTTATTTTGTTAATTTTATTGATCTTTTAAAGAACCAGCGTTTGACTTCTGTTGTCTTATCTTCATTTTCTATTAATTCCTGATAATGTTTTTATTATTATTTTATGTTCCTTGGGTTTATTCAGTTATATTTTTCTTAATTCATAGTTTGTGGTCATATTTTCTAATATAGGCATCAAAAGCTATAAATTTAGCCATATCCTATGGGTTTTTAAAAAGTTGTATTTTCACTCCTTATTTCTGTAGAAATCTCTGTAGTGTTCATTTGCACATTTTGTAACCTTTCTAGTTACTTTGTTACCATTGGTTTTTGGTGGATTTGTCTTGGTCACAGCATGTGGCTCCTTGACCCCACTGGTCGCACACCTCAAGAGCCTTTGCTCTTACTCCACCCTCCCCCAGATAGCTCTTCCCCACATAGCTGCAGTACTCACTAGTTTACGTCTTGACGCAAGTATCACGTTTTCAGGGAGGCCTTCCCTCTCCATCTTCCTGAAGCTTCACACACCTTCTCCTTGTTGCTCTTCCCTGCTTTATTTTCTCTCCTCAGAACTTATCACTTTCTAATATGTTATTTAACACAGTGTTCCCAGCTGGATAGAGAAGGAAGTAAAGCCATTACAGGGTGTATAGCTGGAGACAGAAATGGAATTAAATCGTAAGGAAAGTGGGGAGGGCTGAGTGCCTGGACTTTGCCTGTCATGAGACTGAAGACATAGGGGTAGATGCAGCTGAGGAGTCAGTGTTGTGGTTGGAGAGGAAGATTTTTTTTTTTTCATATGGAGTCTCACTCTGTCACCCAAGCTGGAATGCAGTGGTGCGATCTCGGCTCACTGCAACCTCTGCCTCCCCGGTTCAAGCAATTTTCTCCTGTCTCAGCCACCCAAGTAGCTGGGATTACAGGCGCCCGCCACCACGCCCAGCTAATTTTTTGTATTTTTAGTAGAGACGGGGTTTCACCATGTTGGCCAGGCTGGTCTCCAACTCCTGACCTCAGGTCCTAGGCCTCCCAAAGTCCTAGAATTACAGGTGTGAGCCACCGCACCCAGCTGGAGAGGGAGGTTTTAACTTAGAAGTGAAGAGGTCATCACATCAGTCCTGGATGATGATGAAATTGAGGGTAGGGCAAAGTTCCTTATGTGGAATTTAGGTAAAGGTGACAGCAGGAATACTAACCAAGACATTTGGAGGCAGGTTGGACATGGTCCAACATGATAGTGGGAATCAGGCTAAAGAAAACGTGAGAAACCACATCAGTGTCCATCTTTCATAGCTGCTGATGGAGCAGCCCTTGCTTTCTTCAGGGTCTGTTTTGGGTGGTTCCCTTTTGTGAGGGCCAAGCAGCTCATGGTGGAAGTGGGAAGGCCGGGAGTGGTTTGAGGAAAACAGCCTGTAAGTGTGAATCTTGCTGTGTGGTTGAAGAAGGGGTTGGCTCCCTAGGTGCCTAGTTCCTCGTGGATTCAGAGCAGCCTGTCTGGTTACAGTCTTTAACTTTAGGATCTCATGGCCTTTGGAAGAAGCAGTGCTTTTTTGTTGTTTGTTTACTTGCTCTTTATCTAACCCTAAGCAAACATTTTAGGGACTTATAATGTCTGTTTCACCTAAATGTTACTGCTCTGTACATTTTTGTTGCAATATTTTTGTTGCACGTTGCATTTTTTTTTTTTTTTTTTTTGTCTTTTCCTTTGCTCTCTTGGGCTTCCTTACTTAGAGAACGTTTTCTTCTACTTCAGGTGTTTTGTGTTTTTCTGTTTATGTCTTTAGTTTTAGAAGTGCCTGCAGCTAACATAGCAGTGCTTTCATTGGCACCTGATTTTCCTTTGTACTATTGTCATTTCCAGCCATGCTTCTGGTATTACTGTTGGTGGGAGTTTTTGTTTGGTTGGGTTTTTGTTTTGTTTTGGTATGTTACTGTTGTTTTGTTTTTTTACTTTTTAATTGACTTGTAATGGAATACTTAATAGTTCTTGGTTGGCAGACAATTAAGAAACATAACTGTTTACCATCTTCTAGGCTCATGGCATAACCTTGTACAAGAGAACCTGATTTTACCAGTGCTGCTTTACTGATGCCGATTTGCTTTGTCCTGATCTTTTGGGGATAATACCATTTTTAAGATTATTTTATGCTATAGAAATAAGTAACTTAAAAGCAGTATCTCTGTGCAGTTTTCTTATGTATCTACATTGCTTATAGGGTTTCTCTGCCGTAAGTCTATTTAGTGAGATGATTTTATATGTCCATTGGGCTCCTTAGAAAGAATTCCTTAGGAAATTGTATTAGCCTCCATGAAGATCAGATATCAGAAAGTTTAGGAAAAATCTCCAAGCACGGTGGCCTCACGCATGTAATCCCAGCACTTTGGGAGGCCAAGGCGGGCAGCTCACCTGAGGTCAGGAGTTTGAGACCAGCCTGGCCTACGTGGTGAAACTCCATCTCTACTAAAAATACAAAAATTAGCCAGGCGTGGTGGCACACACTTGTATCCCAGCTACTTGGGAGGGTGAGGCAGGAGAATTGCTTGAACTCGGGAGGCAGAGGTTGCAGTGAACCAAGATCCCGCCACTTTACTCCAGCCTGGGTGACAGAGTGAGACTCTATCTTAAAAAAACAAAACAAAACAAAAAAAACAAAAACTAAGGAAAAATTGCTGTTCGGTGCCACATTTAGTTCTTCTTGCCTTGTTTTATAGGTGAGGGAACATAATTACTTGAACTCTTTATTTGAAAATAACTTAGATCTAGAGTGGACACTAGGGCAGGCAGAACCTTTGATTGGAAAGTAGAACTATTTTTTTTAAGTTGCTTATATTTATTTTTATTGTTTTGAGACAGAGTCTTGTTCTGTTGCCCAGGCCAGAGTACAGTGGTGTAATCTTGGCTCACCACAACCTCTGCCTCCCGGGTTCAAGAGATTCTCCAGCCTCAGCCACCCAAGTAGCTGGGATTACAGGCACCTGCCACCACCCCCAGCTAATTTTTATATTTTTAGTAGATACAGGTTGGCCAGGCTAGTCTGGAACTTCAGACCTCAAATGATCCGCCCACCTCAGCCTCCCAAAGTGCTGGGATTACAACCGTGAGCTGCTGTGCCTGGCCAGAGTTGCTTAGTGTTGCTTATTTATAATAATAGATTTTAAGATCCTTGGATTAAAAAAAGAATCTTGCAGTTGTATAGTTGGAAGGGACTTTAGTTGTCCTGTTATGATACATGTGGTACTTGTTATTTTCCTTGTGAAAAGTTATAACCTGATGAGAAAAATTACCCAACTGAAAGCAGTCCAGAACAAAGGTGAAGAAGTATCCATTAACATGGGCAAATGAATAAATCAGCTATTTCACTGCCATTGGTTCTCGGAGTATTAACCCACGGGCCTGAGGTTTTCATTGTTGAACCCTTTTTAAAAACTCAGTACTATCCATATATCTTCTTGTATTTCAATCTCCATTAATTGTATGCATAGTGGTCCTCCTTGTTGGTTTGGAAAACATTGATTCTGTATTTGGTGGATGATTTAAAAGTGTGCTGAAGTGTCTAACATATTTATTCTTCTTTTTTAGGAAATTGAAAATGGCCCTTCAGCTATGCTAGGTCTATAATGGGAAGTGTCACAGTTCGGTATTTCTGTTATGGGTGCCTTTTTACATCTGCGACCTGGACAGTTTTGCTTTTTGTTTATTTTAACTTCAGTGAAGTGACTCAGCCACTTAAGAATGTGCCCGTCAAGGGGTCTGGGCCCCGCGGACCATCTCCAAAAAAATTCTATCCTCGTTTCACTCGAGGCCCAAGTCGACTACTCGAGCCACAGTTCAAAGCAAACAAAATCGATGATGTGATAGACAGTCATGTTGAAGATCCAGAAGAAGGCCACTTGAAATTCTCTTCTGAATTAGGTAAGTATATATGATGTTTACCAGCAGCCATATCAATGTATTTAATCAATGGAAGTTTGATTAATTAGATTAATTAGGAGATTAGAAATGCTGCATCATTTTTTCGCACACTGATTTATTTTGTTTGTGAACTACCTGAAGTTCTGTGGTTTCTGCGAGGGGTGTCAGTGGGGATTTATATTCTAATTTATCCAGTTCTGACTTCAGTATTTTATGAGAAAACAAACAAGGTCCAGTGAAGAAAAACAAAAAAAGAAAAGAAAAATTAAAAGGCTAGAAAGAAAATGGAACCTATGGGAGAAGGGGTTTGCTTTTTGTTTGTTTTTTTAAGAGATGGGGTCTCACCATATTGCCCAGGCTGTCCTCGAATTCTTGGGCTCAACTGTCCTCCCACCTCAACCTTGAGAGTAGCTGGGACTATAGGCACGCACCACTGTGCCCAGCCTCTGGAAGAAGGTTTTAATTGCTAGGATTGTTAATAAGGGAAAGAAATGGTTGAAAGTTTCCTTGACTGTGTTTAACTTATTTTTAAGGGTACATTTAATTAATACAGAACATAAAGTACTGAGTTTAAAAATAAGCTGGGGTTATTTACATCTAATATGATTTTCACTTAACAAGAGTTACTAAGGTGCTAGAAAAAAAATATATGTATATATAATATAGTTTATTAAATCTTCGTATAAAATAGAAAGCTCATTTTCCTCTTAAAAATTATATTCTCTCCAACTTGGATGCAAGACTCTACTGTCTGTGCCTGTGAATACTGCAATTTTAGAGTGTTGATTTTGACAAATTTTATTTTAAGAGATAAATTAGCAATATTTGTTATTAAAACTTAAAGAACTTGGATCTTGTCACAAAAACATCAAATAATAGGTAATTTAAGAGTAAAATAAAAGAGATTTTGAGAGATTGAGAGAACCTTAGAATGTGAAAGAAATGTTAAAATAGAGTTTTCACTTCGTCATACTTTCAAAGAAATAAGATCAGTTCTTAGGACTTAATGATTTTCTAATAAGGGAAGTCAAAAGTATGTAAAATTTTGTGAGGAAACAAGCTAATATCTACTTCAGTTTTCATTTAAAATATTTTTAAATAGAGATGTGATCTCGCCAACTTCAATTTTCATAAAGTACAATTTTCATAAATCTTTTTCAAATAGCCAGTGGACATTTTTAAAGCATTAATGGGAAAATATCTAGCTCTTTTATTTATTTACAGTTACATTGGTAAAGTTTTTATCAAGAAGTAATACTGGGTTTACCATTTTGAATAGACTCTGTATTTGCTTTTGAAAGAAGTAGTGAGAGAATTGTAGATATTTGAATAACAAACTCCAGCTGCCTATCTGAAAAACTAAATTCCTTATAGACTATCCTAAAGAATCCACAAAAAAAACCTATTAGAGGTAATAAATGAATTTGGCAGTTGCAGGTACTAGATCAACAGTTGCATTTCTATACTGTAGCAATGAGTGGCCTGAAAATGCAGTTGAGATCAGTTTTATTTACAATAGCATCAACAGTAATAAAACACTTAGGAATAAATTTAGCCAAGGAGCTGCAAGATTTGTATGCTGAAAACTGTAAAACATTGCTGAAAGAAATCAAAGAAAACCTACATAAGTGGAAAGATATTCCAGGTTCATAGAATGGAATGCTAAATACTATTAAGTTGTAGATATCACCGAAAGCAATATATAGATTCAGTGCAATCCCTATTAAAATGTCAGTGGTCTTTGTTGTAAAGAGGGGAAAAGGTTATCCTGAAATTAATATGGAATTACAAGAGGCTCTGAATAGCCAAAACAGTCTGGAAAAATAACAAAAGTTGTAAGACTCAGACTTTCCAATTTTAAAAATAAATTGGACTACATCAAATATAAAAAACTTCTGTACATCAAATAACACATCAAGAATGTGAAAAAAAGGGCTGGGCGCAGTGGCTCACGCCTGTAATCCGAGCACTTTGGGAGGCTGAGGTGGGTGGATCACCTGAGGTCAGGAGTTTGCGACCAGTCTGACCAACATGGTGAAACCTTACCTCTGTAAAATACAGAATCAGCTGGGCGTGGTGGCAGGCGCCTGTAATCCCAGCTACTCGGAAGGCTGAGGCAAGAGAATTGCTTGAACCCAGGAGGTGGAGGTTGCAGTGAGTCAAGATCGTGCCATTGTACTCTAGCCTGGGCGACAGAGCAAGACTCTGTCTCAGGGAAAAAAAAAAAAAAAAATGAAAAAAGACAACCCACAGAATGGGGAAAAATATTTGTAAATCATATTTCTAATAAGGGTTCAGTATCTAGAATATATAAAGAATGCTTGTTTGTAATTTTATTTCATTTTGAGACAGGGTCTCGCTCTGTCACCTGCGCTGGAGGGCAGTGGCGCAGTCACGGCTCACTGCAGCCTCAACCTCCTTGGCTCAAGTGATCCTCCTGCCTCAGCCTCTCGAGTAGCTGGGGCTACAGGGGTGTACCACTGTGCCCAGCTAATATTTGCATATTTTGTAGAGACAAGGTTTCACCATGTTGCCCAAGCTGGTCTCGAACTCCTGGGCTCAAGCCATTCTCCTACCTCGGCCTCCCAAGGTGCTGAGACTATAGGCATGAACCACTGTGCCTGGTCTAAACAATTCTTAAAACTCAATTATAAAAAGACAAATGGCTCAATTTTAAAATGGGCAAAGGATCTGATAGACATTTCTCCAAAGATGGTATACAAATGGCCAAGCAGCAGATGAAAAGATGCTTAATATAATTAGTGATTACAGAAATGAAAATCCAAACAACGAGATAACCATCTCACACCCACTGGGAGGGCTATAATAATAAATTTAAAAAGGAGAGTAACAGGCAACAGTGAGGATGTGGAGAAACTGGAGCCCTCACACGTTGCTGGTGGGAATGGAAAATAGCGTAGCCACTGTAGACAGTTTGGCAGTTCCTCCACAAGTTAAACGTAGAATTTTCATATGACCCAACAGTACCACTCCAGGGTTTGTACTTGAAAGAATTACCAACAGGTGCTCAAAAACTTGTACTCAATGTTCATAGGAGTACTATTTTCAGTAGACAGAAGGTGACAACATGTTATCCAAATATCCATCAACTGATGAAGGGAGAAACTAAATGTGGTCTATCCGTACCATGGAATATTATTCAGACAGAGAAAGGAATGACGTTGTGATACATACTACAACCTGCATGAACCTTGAAAACATTATGCTAGTGAAAGAAGCCAGACACAAAAGGTCACATGTTGTAGGGTTCCCTTTATGCGAAATGTCTAGAATAGGCAGGTCCATGGAGACAGAGGGCAAATTAGTGGCTGCCAGAGACCGGGGAACAGGAAGAATGGGAATAACTGTTTTAATGCGTATAGGGTTTTCTTCTTTGTTGCTGAAAATATTCTGCAGCTAGATAATCGTGCTGGTTGTACAGCATTGAGAATGTACTAAATGTCTCTAATGGTACGTTTTATGTTATGTGCATAATTATCACAGTTAAATGAAAAATCCAAAATTTCTTACATAAAATAAATTTAATATAGAAGGAATTAGTATAAATAATATAGCAGTAGTTAAAAGTATGCAGATTTCTGAGTAGAGAATTATTGGACAAGCAGGGAAAGGAACCTATGAAAAGGTACATTTGAGAAAGATTATTGGCCAGGCGTGGTGGCTCACACCTGTTATCCTGGCACTTTGGGAGGCTGAGGCTGGTAGATTGCTTGAGCTCAGAAGTTTAAGACCAGCCTAGGTGGTATCTACCGAAAGTTTAAAATTCAGCTGAGTGTAGGGGCACATGGCTGTAGTCCCAGCTACTTACGAGGATTGTTTGGGCCCAGGAGGCAGAGGCTGCTGTGAGCCGAGATTGCACCACTGCACTCCAACCTGGGGGACAGAGCAAGACCCTGTCTCAAAAAAAAAAAGAAAAAAAAGAAAACAATAAATTTAAAATTAAAAACATTTTCTCGTTTAATCTGAAATTAATTATAAAATTAATCGAAAAGGGTCCTCTGGCATGTTAATTGAGGTTTGGCTACGATTTTATTTGAGCAGGGGAGTAAGAAAAGTAAGCTGAAACAATCTTTTCGTATGGCATCTTTTCATCAAGAGACCTATAATAGAACATGATTCTTTGAGTATTCAGTATGAGGTCACCCTCTGATACTTGTAGAATTAAGGAGTATTTATTGAGACTCTTCTTTGTGCAAGGCTCTGCTCTGGGTGCTAGATATCAAACAATTTTAATTTTATTTATTTTATGTTTTGGTCATCACCAAAGTGTCTTCTCTTCTGGAGTTTCTCTCCTTGTATAAAATGCTAGTGGAGGTTTGTTGTTTTGTGTTTAAAAAGGATGAACTGCAGTTGAAACAGTTTCAGAGAGAAGGCATATTAAGATATAATGTTTCTCAAAGCGGATTTAGGGACATTAGTTGGGTTCAAATAAATTGGGGAAACACTGCATTCTATTTTGTTTTGAGACAAAGTTTTGCTTTTGTCACCCAAGTTGGAGGCATGATCTTGGCTTCCTGTGGTCTCTGTCTCCTAGGTTCAAGCGATTCTCCTGCCTCAGCCTCCCAAGTAGCTGGGTTACAAGCGTGTGCCACCATGCCTGGCTAATTTTTGTATATTTAGTAGAGAAGGGGTTTCACCATGTTGGTCAGGCTGATGTTGAACTGCTGACCTGCCACGATCCACCCACCTCGGCCTCTCAAAGTGCTGGGATTACAGGCATGAGCCGCCATGCCTGGCTGGAAACACTGCCTTCTATATCTCATCCCTTTACACTTGGATATTCATAAAACATGCACTGTATTAAAGGAACAGAGTTCTACTATTTTAAAACAATGGACTTTTATTTATTTATTTTGAGACAAAGCCTTGCTCTGTTACCCAGGCTAGAGTGCAGTGGTGCGATCTTGGCTCACTGCAACCTCTGCCTCCTGGGTTTAAGAGATTCTCCTGCCTCAGCCTCCCGAGTAGCTGGGACTACGGGAATGCACCACTACTCCTGGCTAGTTTTTGTTTTTGTTTTTGTTTTGTATTTTTAGTAGAGATGGGGTTTCGCCATGTTGGCCAGACTGGTCTTGAACTCCTGACCTCAAGCAATCTGCCCGCCTTGACTTCCCATAGTGCTGGGATTACAGGCATAAGCAACCACACCCTGCCTAATATCACAATGACTTTGATTAGGCCTGTGGAGGAATTCCCTGACAGTTAAACCAGAAACTGTGAAGGTTTTTTTGTTTTGTTTTGTTTTTTTTTATTTAAAAGACAGGATCTCACTCTGTCACCCAGGCTGGAGTGCAGTGGCACAACTGTGGTTCACTGCAGCCTTGATGTCCTGGGCTCAAGCAATCTTCCTGCCTCAGCCTCCTGAGTAGCCAAGTCATGGAGACTACAGGTGTGAGCCACCATGCCTGGCTAATTTTTTTTTTGTAGTAGAGACAAGGTCTTGCTGTGTTGCCCAGGCTGGGCTCAAGTAATCCTCTTGCCTTGGCCTCCCAAAGTGCTGGGATCACAGGCATGAGCCATTGTGTCTGACCTGGGAAACTCTTTTTATAGAAAAGCTTATCAATTGCCTTTTTCTGCAGAGAGACTCCTGTAAAAACTTGGATGTAACTGAGGCCTGTTGAGGGCCATTGGGGTTCTAAAATCTATTGCTTTAATGGAAAATTATAAAAAATTTTTTCCTGGTTGCCGGTAAATTTTTCTCTTGAATATAGTAAACTATTAAGATTATGGCTTGTGGCCGGGCGTGGTGTCTCACGCATATCATCCCAGCACTTTGGGAGGCCGAGGCGGGCAGATCATGAGGTCAGGAGATCCAGACCTTCCTGGCCAACATGGTGAAACCCCATTTCTACTAAAAATACAAAAATTAGCAGGGCGTGGTGGCATGTGCCTGTAGTCCCAGCTACTTGGGAGGCTGAGGCAGGAGAATCACTTGAACCAGAGAGTTGGAAGTTGCAGTGAGCCGAGATTGTGCCACTGCGCTCCAGCCTGACGACAGAGGGAGACTCCGTCTCAAAAAAAAAAATATATATATATATATGGCTTGTGAGTAGATGGTGTTTATAGTTAAGACACACTTGCTTTGACCTAAACTGACAAGAATTTGACTTCAACCTGGAGACGACCTAAGTTTGAGAAAAGAGATATTAGATTATAATAGGATAAAGTCAGCATTTTCTTAGGATCATAATATCATTAACAGTAACTGGTGATACTTTCTAGATTTAATTCGCTCACTTCACTCTTTTGCAGGTATGATTTTTAATGAACGCGATCAGGAGTTGAGAGACTTGGGCTATCAGAAACATGCTTTTAATATGCTTATCAGTAACCGCTTGGGCTACCACAGAGATGTGCCAGACACAAGGAATGCAGCGTATGTGCCTTATCAGATTTGCAAATACATTTTAACAGCACGATGTTTTTAGTGTCAGTGTAAGAGGTCACGAGGATGGTGTTCCTATTTCCCAGTGTAGCCCTTTATTCAGCATACTAGGAAACTTGAGACAGATTTCCACTTGTGTTACATGTGAAGCCACATGGTCTGAGATGTACCAGCAGAGTCCTAGAGCTTGCTGTGTCTCCTTTAACATTTCAGATCACCTGGGGAAGGAGAGGAGGGTGCTAATTAAATAACCTGAGTATAAGTTTGTTCAAAGGTGCTAATTAAATAACCTGAGTATAAGTTTGTTCTAAATGTTTATTGATTGGATTCGTGGCAAACAGGAGTTAAAATCAGTGAAGAATTTTACTCCTCATTTCACTTTTCTTTTTCATGATTTTGGTTCCATCAAAGGCTTTTCATGCATGTGGTCAGTCATTCGACAGACAGGCATTTGTTGAGCACCTTCTATTTGCTATACGCCTTCTTGCGCCCTGGAAGAAACAAACAAATGTAGTAGTTTCTGAGTTCTCAGGGCTCGGAGTCTAGCAGGGGAGGCAAATAAGTCAACAAGTCCTGGCGGTAGCACGCGAGTAAGGGCTGTGATAGGGTTTGGGGAAATGGGGGCATAGTACTGGAGTGCTCCCTGCAGAGAGGTGACAAGGCTGGAGGGAGGCAGGGCTCAGATACTGGAGGGTTGTGTGTGTCCTGGGAAATAATTCAGGGTTCTGGATTGTGTTCTCTAAGTTCATGGTTTTTTTTTTTTTTTTTGAGATGGAGTCTCACTCTGTTGCTCAGGCTGGAGTGCAGTGGCGCGATCTTGGCTCACTGCAACCTCCACCTCCCAGGTTCAAGTGATTCTCCTGCCTCAGCCTCCTGAGTAGCTAGGACTACAGGTACACACCACCACGCCTGATTAATTTTTGTAGTTTTAGTAGACATAGGGTTTCACCATGTTGGCCAGGGTGGTCTCGAACTCCTGACCTCATGATCCGCCCACCTCAGCTTCCCCAAGTGCTGGGATTACAGGCGTGAGCCATTGCGTCTGGCCAGTTCATGACTTTTTGATGTTGCTTAAAGCTCCTTACCCTTTTTTTCCAAATAGTTGCTTAGAATGATTTGGTACATGGAAGCTCTTCTGTTATCTTGTTATATCATAATTTATTCAAATCTTTTTTATTATTGGGCAAAAAAATAAAATTTCAAATATAAAGTTTTATATTTGTTTCCTTTTGAAACCTCATTGAGGAGAAGCTGGGCATCAGCTTATGAGTGCTGCATGAAACACTTGCCATGATTTTGGTAAAAAGAACTTACATTTTTATGTAACCTCTCTTCCAAAAAAGAAAAAAAACCCTGAAGTTTAAAAAATGTTTATCCGGCCGGATGCGGTGGCTCACGCCTGGCATCCCAGCACTTTGGGAGGGTGAGGTAGGTGGATCACGAGGTCAGGAGATCGAGACCATCCTGGCCAACATGATGAAACTCTGTCTCTACTAAAAATACAAAAATTAGCCGGGCATGGTGGCGCATGCCTGTAATCCCAGCTACTCAGGAGGCTGAGGCAGGAGAATCGCTTGAACCCGGGAGTTGGAGGTTGCAGTGAGTCGAGATTGCGCCACAGCACTCCAACCTAGCGACAGAGCAAAACGCCATCTCAAAAAAAGAAAAAGTTTATCCAAAAGTAAACAAGATAGCAGGTATAGGAGGGAGACATTATTAACACAATGTAAACTCTTGAAGAAGAAACTGTACTGTTTTTGTAAATGCTTTTAAAAAAAGTTGTTGTTCCCATAATGTTAGAAAGAGGCTGAACAGGCTGGGCATGGTGGTTCACTCCTGTAATCCCAGCACTTTGGGAGGCTGAGGCGGGCAGATCAGCTGAGGTAGGGAGTTTGAGACCAGCTTGACCAACATGGAGAAACTCTGTCTACTAAAAATACAAAATTAGCCAGGTGTGGTGGGGCATGCCTGTAATCCCAGCTACTCGGGAGGCTGAGGCAGGAGAATTGCTTGAACCTGGGAGGTGGAGGTCGCGATAAGCCGAGATATAGCGCCCATTGCACTACAGCCTGGGCAACAAGAGGGAGACTGTGTCTCAAAAAAAAAGGGAAGAGGGTGAACAAGGGGACAGTAAATCTGTAGGTGAATAATGATCTAAACCACTTGCGCCTTTTAAAATGTCAGAATTTCTTCATCTTTATCTTTACAGATGTAAAGAAAAGTTCTACCCACCTGACCTGCCAGCTGCTAGTGTTGTTATCTGTTTCTATAATGAAGCGTTTTCTGCCTTGCTTCGGACAGTGCACAGTGTCATAGACCGCACGCCAGCACACCTGCTTCATGAGATCATCCTTGTGGATGATGATAGTGACTTTGGTAAGGAATGCTGTAACTGGTAACATTGGATGCAGGCTGTCAGTCACTACAGCACTGACAAACATTAACACAGCCGAACTTTCCAGTACGTGGTAGGTAGGGATCCTACACATGCAGTCACAGCTGGGTTGACTACAAATAAGTTTGAAGAAATCCGTTATCTTTGTAACCTGCTTATAAACTATGCTAACCAAATTTGGCCCTTGAAATTTTGCCCGTGGCTTACTTTAAAAAACACACCTCTTTTTATTTGAAATAACTGTAGATTCACAGGAAGTTACAAAGACAGTCTGTGTACCCTTCACCCAGTTTCTCCATCATAAAATTCCCCTGTCAGAACCAGGAATCCACATTGGTACAGTGTGTGTGAGGTCCAGGGTTTTTCTGTCAACAGGTGGACTCCCACAACCCTCACTGCAGTGATACAGAACTGTTTCCTCACCTGGAGGGCCCTCATGTTGCCTCTTTCTAGTCGCACCTTCTGCTTTCCTCTACTCTTCCCCAGTCCCTGAAACCACGACTCTATGATTTTGTTTCCATCTCTGATTTTGTTATTTCAAGAATGTCATATAAATGGAATCACACAATATGTGACCTTTTGAGATGGACTTTTTTCAGTTGGCATGATGCCTCGGCTTATGCCTCTCTATTAAGTCTCTTACACTGATTGTCCCCAGATAAAAGTGGATTGCATTCTGATAGTTCCTCAACCATCTCTGAATGCCAGTATTTTATGATTCACTACATACTCTATATTCTATATGCCTTTCTTTAATTCGACATAGACTCTTGCTAAGAGTGGCTTTGTGTACCCAAACAGGATAGAAGGCTTTTTATTACACTGCTCATTCAGCTCTCAGTGACCTTGCAAGAAAGGCCGGAAGCCCATTTTATAGAGGGAGAAATATAAAAATTAAGTAATTTGCTCAGGACCCCATAGCTGTTAAGTAGTAGAGTGGAAGTGAGACCTGTAGTCTGCATAGCTCCAAGCCTTCTGCTCTTTTCATGACAGCAGCCTGCAGAAACACAGTGGTACAGGTATATGCCAGTGACTTTTTCACGCACTCAGGCATTTCTTAAGTGCCACTTGTATCAACATCAGAGTTGTTATATCGGTATACATCAGAGTTGTTATATCGGTATACATCAGAGTTGTTATATCGGTATACATCAGAGTTGTTATATCGGTATACATCAGAGTTGTTATATCGGTATACTTAAATATAGACGGTAAAGAAATGGACAGAGACTCATGGGAGCAGAATTCTCAAACCTTGGCTAAAAACAAACAAACAGAAAACCTAACAAATAAATCTGAGACTGGACCAAGTAGAAGATTGGTTAATACTGATTTCTAGAATTTACGGTGGTCTTTTTTTTTTTTTTAAGTCAACTTGTATTTTGGTTTTCACTTTGTGGCTATTTTATCTAAAAGGAAAAATTCATAATTTGGGGTGGTTTGTATATTAACTATGGAAAGAATTACTGCTTATTATCTTACACGATCTTTCAAGTTATTATGAAGTATACAGGTGAATGACATAGAATTCCTTAAAAAACATTTAGCAACCTTGGAAGAAAGATGCTGAATTAATAAAACAACATATTCAATGCTGTTCTTGTTATTCTTGGTAGGGGCAGTAGAAGTTTCTTAAATATTTTGAAATGGACTAAGACTTAATAAATTCCTTTGTAATAAAAGGCATTTATATCTCATTTTCTTTGTTATCACTGTGATTTATATACAGTCAGCTGAACATTTATGCACTCGAAATACTCATTCCAAACATTGTTTATGCAAAGTATTGTGCTTGATGCTATGGAGATACAAATAAGTCTATAACTAAAGTAAGTATTCCTCTTGGCTAATATTGCAGCTCTTACCCTTCATTTCTTTCCTTCCTTTTTCTTCCTACACGATAAGCTACAATACTCATTTAAAATAATATTCTATATTTTGTTTTATTGATGTGAATTTTAGCAAGTACTAGATGCAACTTTAGAATAGCTGTAAAGTGTCTTTATATATGTCTCATACAGCTTGAATAATTGTGGGACTCTATTTTCAGATGATTTGAAAGGAGAACTAGATGAATATGTCCAAAAATACCTCCCTGGAAAAATTAAAGTCATAAGAAATACAAAGCGTGAGGGATTGATTCGAGGAAGAATGATTGGCGCGGCCCATGCGACAGGTATCACTTGTTAGCTTTGCTCTACTGGTGTTGGAAGACAAGGGCTTGAGCGTCAGCACCTGTCCTGATTCTGCAAAGTCTATGAAAAGTGGTGTTTCAAATGGACATTGCCAGCAGGAGAGATGAGGCTTGTTCTGTTTGGGAAAGGCCTGTTCATAACTCCAGGCCTGCTTGCTACCCCAAAGCATGTAGTGCAGGTAGTGGACGTAGTACAGGTAGTGGACGTAGTGCAGGGGGCTGAACTCTCACATCCTCAGTGTCTGTTTTCATAGCGATGCTTTTTTGATAGTTATTGCCCCTCAAATAGATTTTATATCTTGTTCACTTATATAAGCAGAAAAGCCTGGACCAAAATGTAACTGAACTTTTATGTTTTTAAATACAAAATTTAAAAGTATGAACCCAAACTGTTGAACTATGCTTTTAATTCTTAGTGCAGAGTGCATCCCTCTGGAGCTACACATCATTACTTTAATTGGTAAATGAATGTAAGATTGACTTACATAATTATAAAAGGCATTTTCTTTAAAATTCCCTCTTAATTCTAATGATTCCATCAAGGAGAAAGTCTCCATTGTTACTGGTATATCTTTAAAACCTTTCCATCATACACTGATCTCCCCCTTTAGAAAGAAAGAACATCTCAATTTCAGTCTTCTGTAGAAAATATATCTGGTTAGTCTTCAATTACATTATAGATTCTGTTGTATTTCGTTTTATGGTTACCTATGTGTAATTGGTCTCCCTGAGTTTCATTTATGATTATAATTTTTAAAAAATTTAAAATAAATTTAAAACAAATGAATCTGTTTAAAAATGTTAGGTGTATAATACTGCAGGTAGTGCATGGACATGGCAAAAAAATTTTGAAAGTCATTTGAGAATGACAGAACTTGGTGGGGACATTCCCTAGCAGTGACAGCATCTACTGCAGTCCTTCCTGTATTCCGCGCTCTTCTAGATAACCTGCCACTGGGTTCGTTTCTAGATAACCTGCCACTGTCCCTAGCAGTGACAGCATCACTGCAGTCCTTCCTGTATTCCGCGCTTCTAGATAACTCCGCTACTGGGTTCGCTTTCTAGATAATCGCTACTCGTCTGCTTTCTAGATAACCTGCCACTGGGTTCGCTTTCTAGATAACCTGCCACTGGGTCTTTCCCTAGATAACCTGCCACTGGGTTCGTTTCTAGATAACCTGCCACTGGGTTCGTGGCGGCCGGCACTGCTCACCGCCGCTCCCCCTGTGGAGCCACTGGCTGTGCTGGGCTGAACTAGGACTTCACTTTTAGACTCTGTCTTCTCTTCTTTCTCTTAAACCCACAGTGACCTGAAGCAATTAACAAAAAAAGAGAAGCAGCTCCTCTACATCCCATCTGCAGTGGATGCAGACTGAGCTCAAGGCTTGTGAGACTATCGTTTCTAGGTTTCTAGTCATGTAAAGATTTACTGAATTGACCGTGTGGAGTTATTCAAGGCAAAGCAATAGAGTGAAAATTGTGGGGTATTTTCAGTATTAAGCCACTCAAAACATGGTTCCGTTAGAATGCATGTTTACTGTGAATTGACTGTTTTTAGATAGCAATAGTTATTTAGGTTTTTTTCCCTTTATGATCTCTTCAGGTCCTCATTCAGATATAGTTTAGGATCTGTCAGAAGCAAGTCAGTTTGCCTGGAAGTCATTGTTTCAGGTTCACTGTGACCAGGTATAGTCTTCATTTAGTTAAATTGGTGTTAATTGGAAAAAGTAACACTTTTAGAATAAGAAAAGCTCTGAATCCATTTTCTCCTTGAAGCAGCAATGGAAGCAGCAATCGTGATTGAATTGATCCCACCTCACCCCCACTGATGTGCATATGGGAGGTTCTGCCTTTCTGCATTCAGTGACAGGGGAGAGCTGCCTGCTGCCTACATCCCCACAGCTTCAGGCTGTTTACAGACACTGATCTGTGGGACTGATTCACGGGCATCATTGAAAACTGAGATACTGCTTTTATCACTAGTTGAAGTTGGATAAATAACATCTGGTGCTTTAAGTAGTTCATGTAAAATCTTGATACATTTCACGAGTGCACTTTTAGAAAAACAATAATGCAACCTGATGATGAGATTCTAAGTTTCTCAACTGCTCAGAAGAACCATGGAGCTCTTAAATTTGAAATTATATGTTAAAAAAAAAAATCCTCAGTTCTGCTCACATTTATCAAGGGGAGCTTGAAGTGCAGGATAAAATGTTGATGATTTAATATTTTGCTAGCTAGAAGAAAGGTGTATCCCATTGGCAGATGAGAGCCACTGAAGCCAAGAGGGTGGGGGGCAGTAGAAAGGAAAGGTGGGAGATGGAAGAAACAGAAATGAGCAAGAGGCGTCCCCGACAGCGCCCCCGGCTGCACCTCCCTCTCCGGGAGAACTGCTGTGTGGCAGCAGCCAGCCGTGGTTACAGTGCATTTCCTCGTCACCAGTGAGAGGGCAGCTGTGTTCTCTGTACTCTGTTTACTGAGGCAGAGAGATGTATTATAAGTGTGTGCTAAATTTCAAAATATTTTGATTAAAATAATTGTAATAAAAATATCTACACAACTGGTCACTGTCGTGGCACCAAAACATCTTGAAATACTCAATATCTGGCCTTTCCAGAGAGTTGAGTTGTTCCTGTGAGACTGACTCCGTTTCCTGAAGAGAGTGAAATTGCCTGTCCGTTTTCTCAAGAGGCGCGCCTGTGATTTGTATGGGTCCCTCAACTACAGCAGGACACTGCTCGCAGCATTACTGGCTGAGGGACGTCCTTGCTGACCATCAGCAGTGAAGTGTGGTGCAGCAGTTAAGCCATCTGGGGCTGGCAGGGTGGCAGTCGTGTTTCATGCTGTGTCACTGCATCATCCCATTGGACGGGTGGCTGTGCCTAAATTGAGCGTTGCAACACTCTCCTGAGCCTCTGTTGTTTCCTCCCCAGGAGAAGTCCTTGTGTTCCTGGACAGCCACTGTGAAGTGAATATGATGTGGCTGCAGCCCTTGCTGGCCGCCATCCGTGAGGACCAGCATACTGTGGTGTGCCCAGTGATCGACATCATCAGCGCCGACACGCTGGCCTACAGCTCGTCCCCTGTCGTCCGCGGAGGGTTCAACTGGGGGCTGCACTTCAAATGGGATCTTGTCCCCCTTTCTGAGCTAGGAGCGGAGGGAGCCACTGCACCAATAAAGTAAGATCACCCCTTTGTTTGAAAAATTCCTACCAGTGCTTCCTTACAAGAGAAAAAAATGATATTAAAGATAATTCCTCCTTTGTAAGGAGCAAAAGTGTTGACTTAATTTGTACATTAAAAAATTCTTGAGTATGTATTGAATTGTATGCAGTCTGCCAAGTCCTAAGGAAAGATCGATGAGTTAAGATACTATATGTCCCCTCAAGGACTTAGAGCCTTGTGAGAAAGGCAGACAGACCACGCCACCATTGCAGAGGAAGCCCTGGGAGGGCCCATGTGGTGTTTGCTCTTGGTATGTCAAACACCGTGGTGTATTTATTGTTCACTAACTTACCTTCAGTTGTTTGGTAACCTGAGTGATGCTGTGAAAAACATTAATACATAAGCCTTTGCTTCCATTAGGATTTTGAAGTTATATTCCTGCTAGTATAATTATTAAAGTCATGGTATAGGAATTATTTTATGTTCTTATCTGTGTTTCATCTTCTGTAATATAAATCTGCTTTTCTTATTTTTGTGTTCTTTAAAAATTTCTTATGTAGATTGAATTCAGAGAGGTTTGCCTGTATTTTAACTTTTTAAAGAATGCAACATTTGTTCTTGATTTGCCAGAGTGTGATCAAAATTGGTACTTTCTCCAAACAATGCCAGGATCTCAGAATGTTCACATTTCAGTTATTTTTCCCCCAATTTACTTGTTATTGTTGCTGTCCACATAATTTAAAACCCAGAAGCGATTTCTTACATAGCAGTATTCACACAGGCTTGCCCAAGTATCTCCCCTTTATGTTACCCTGTTCCTTCTGCAGCTGCAGGCTCTATCTGGGATTGCTCTCGTCCTGGCTGAAGAACACTCTTAGTCGTTCCTTTAGTTGGACCTCCTAGTGATTAGTCCTCTGTTTTTCCGAAAATGTCCTTGTGTTTCAGCATTGTTTTGAACAACATGTTTACTCAATATCCAGTTCTAGCTTGGCAGTGGCAGACATGCATGTTCTTTCAGTGTTTGAAGGCATCATTCGAGAACCTTCTGGCATTCACCATTTCAGACAGGAAGTCAGCGTTGTTAGTCTTACTTTGCTTCCCTTAAGATAATCTCTTTCTCACTGGCTGCTTACATTTTTTTGGTCTTGTTTTTAAAAAGTGTTTTTTGGATATGTATAAACATGGTTACTTTTTTGAAGTAACTGATTTGCTGCCGAATTCTGCCTTGTCTTTTTCTTTGAAGCAATTAAAGTCTTTGGTTGATGATTCCATATTTGAAACTCCTGCGTATCTGTTTCTGTTATATGTTGTTTCTCTCATTTTGCTTTCATATGATTTTATCTTCCCATTTGCCTGGTTATTTATTTGTTGCTTATTTATTTTTGCTTAGTGCCAGACATGATGTATGAAAAATTATAGAAATACATTCATACCTGGGATGATGTTTTTTCCCTGCAGAGATAATTTTGCTTCTCTTCTGCAGGCAGCTTGGGTCACTAGAATCCACACTCCCCTCTGTCTAGTTTTAGGAAGTGAGCGGACTGGAAGCTAGCTCGAGTCCCTGAGAGGACCAGTCTACGGCTTTTCTCAGTCCAGCACAGCGCTTCTCAGCCTTGGCACTACTGACATTTTGGGCCAGATAATTCTTTGTTGTAGGGGCCCTCTTGTGCATTTTAGGATAGGTAGTAGGATCCCTGACCTCAGCCCAGATTCTGGGAGCACCCTGCCACACAAACACATCAAGACGTGACAGCTAAAAATGCTCTCAAGATTATGAAATGACCGTTGGGGACACAGTCATCCCAGTTGAGAGCCACTGGTCTAACTGTGTGAGTCCAACTCCCAATGTGTGATGTTTGTCAGGTCTCTCCTTGGTGGACCTTAGAGCCCAGTTTTGATCCCCAAGGCTCTGTGAGATTGTCAGAAGGAATGACCATATCAGGTGGCTTTCTATCAGAAATGGTTATAATAGGAAAAGAGCCTCTGAGACTTAGAAAAGTAGCCTTCGTATGCCAGATACTAGCATATTATTAGCAATCTAGAAAATTCAGTTGTATGGCCTGGCTCATTCTCTGATACTGGATAACATGTTTCATAATCATTAATTCCATTTTTATTAGTTATGTTCCAAAATGACACTGAGTATTTTAAACAAAAGTAGTAGGTAAGATAACTATGTGGAATAAGTACAGTAATTGTTTTCCTTTTTCGAGGTCACCAACAATGGCTGGAGGTTTGTTTGCCATGAACAGACAGTATTTCCATGAACTTGGACAGTATGATAGTGGCATGGATATCTGGGGAGGAGAAAACTTGGAAATATCATTTCGGGTAATTTTTTTGCATGCTCAATTAATAACTGTGTGTAGTAGAATATGATTTTCATCCATGATCTCATATTTTCTTTATGTTCTCCTCGATTATTATATTTTTTGAGATAGGGTCTTTCTCTGCCGCCCAGGCTGGAGTGCAGTGGTGTGATCATAGCTCACTGCAGCCTTGACCTCCTGGGCTGAAGCGATCCTCTTGTCTCAGCCTACTGATTAGCTGGGACTGCAGGCACGTGCCTGTAGTTTTTCTATTTTTTGTAGAGATGGGGTCTCATTGTGTTGCCCAGGCTGGTGTTGAACTCTTGGGCTCAAGTGATCCTCCTGCCTCAGCCTCCCAGAATGCTCCATGATTATCTTTATTGACAAATTGTCCTTAATGAATGCTACCTTGCCAGAATCTGTGATATGGATAATATCTATTCGAAACGTCAGAAGTGTACATATTGATCCATTGACTAGGAAAACAACAACAAAATGAAAAAGCATGTAAGAAGCCATATATTTATTCATATTTTTTTTTTTGAGACAAGGTTTTGCTCTGCTGCCCAGGTTGGAGTAGAGTGGCATGAACACAGTGGCTCACTGCAGCCTCGAACTCCTGGGCTCAAGCAACCCTCCCACCTCTCAGCCTCCTAAGTAGCTGGGAGTAGAGGCGCATGTCACCACACCTGGCTAATTTTCTATTTTTTGTAGAGATGCGAGTCTCGCTATGTTGCCCAGGCTGGTCTTGAACTCCTGGACTCAAGCAATCCTCCTGCCTTGACTTCCCAAGGTGGTAGGATTATAGGCGTGAGCCACTGTACCTAGTCTGTTTCTATGGATTTAGAGGTACAAGTGCATAGTGTGTGGTGGTAAAGTCTGGCTTTTAATGCACTCATCACCGGAATAATGGACAATGTACCCAATAGGTGGTACTTCATCCCTCACTCCCCTCCCACCTTTTAGAGTCTCCAGTATCTGTTATTCCACTCTGTGTATGTATATGTGTGTGTGTGTGTCTGTGTGTATATATATATATTTAAATTATAAAAGTATTGTTGTAAAGAATGGTTGGATATAAATTTAGAATGTTTTAGTGTGCTAATTTAAAGGTATGTTCTTTTTTTGTTGGTTTATTTTATTGATACTACCAGATACATATAGTCAGGGTGACCAGATTTCCCTGAGGCCTAAGACCATCCTAGTTCATACCTGTTCTCTTGGAAAAATTAATAGCTTCCCATTGTACTTTCAGAAACAGCTCAGTTCGATGCTGCCTTATACCGTCACCCCGTGTATAGCTTACTAAGTCCTTTGTGTATACAGGTACCCCTGTCCTGAGGAAGAAATCCACCTTGCATTATCTGTCTTCTCCAATTGCTTAGGTTTGAAAGGTAACAGTGTAGGTGGGGTCTGTGGCTCAGAGGACCATGGTGTAGACAGTCTTTGGAAAAGGCAGAAAGAGGGCAAGGGGAGAGCTGAGACTTCTCCTTCCAAGCAAATATCCCAGTATTTCTCCCAACCATCTCCTAGTCCAGTTAGCAGAATCCCTATCAGATATTACCACGATACTTGTTCATATGTCCTTTTGTATTTCTGCAAATGTACTGACTACAGTATTTCTAAAAAGCAGGTTTTGGCTGGGTCTGTGTGGCTCACGCCCATAATCCAGCACTTTGGGAGGCCAAGGCGGGCTGATCCTGAGGTCAGGAGTTCAAGAGCAGCCTGGCCAACATGGTGAAACCCCGTCTCTACTAAAAATACAAAAAAATTAGCTGGGCGTGGTGGCGGGCACCTGTAATCCCAGCTACTCGGGAGGCCGAGGCAGGAGAATCGCTTGAACCTGGGAGGCAGAGGTTGCAGTGAGCCAAGTGCCACTGCACTCTAGCCTGGGGGACAAGAGCAAGGCTGTGTCTCGACAACAACAACAACAACAACAAAAGCAGGTTTTCATTCTGTAAGTTTTAGAATGTTAGGGTTAAAGGCGTAATAGATTTTATTGTGCCTCTTATTTAATAGATTTTATTATTAAAAGTTCAGTCTCTTTTATTTTTATTTTTTTAAATAAGGTAATCAAGTCCCACAAAAACGGACTTAACTCCGAAGTAATTCAGATAGTCAAGGACAGAATTTAGACCAGAGCTAACGTCTTTTGAATCTTAATCTGGAGTTATTCTATATATTTTATATTTAAAAATCTGTTTTCTAAAAAAGAATATGCATTGTATAAGCAAGTAGCTGTGAAACTGAAATGAGAAGACCAGGTAATAAGCACTTCTTGTCCTTAAGTGCCTAACATCAAGTCTCTTGATCTGTTAAAGCGACAGAGTTGGGTAAGTGCAATTTCAGACACATGGTAGTAAATGCTTACTATGTGCATTGTTTTAGAATTCAGTTCCTTGTAATGATAAAGACAGGTAATTTTTAACAATGTACCTTCTCATTTTCTTCTATTTGAGTATTTGTATCTAATGAGATGTAAATATCTTGCCAAGTTTCATAAACACCTATTGAATAAAGATTAATTTCATTGAAAATTCATACATTGGTTTCACAATAACATGAGGCAACTGTTCACACGTGTTTTTGCTTCTGACCAGATCTGGATGTGTGGCGGTAAGCTTTTCATCATCCCTTGCTCTAGAGTAGGACACATTTTCCGAAAAAGGCGACCATATGGATCTCCTGAAGGCCAGGACACCATGACACACAACTCTTTGAGGCTGGCACATGTCTGGTTGGATGAATACAAGGTGAGATGAAATTTCTTGTTTAGAAGGATAAATGATAGGCCAGTAGTGACTGGCCTAGTGATAGCTTTGGTTGCTTTACTTTTCACTCTGGCATATTTCTCTTGGTTAACCTTCACCTTAGGGCCGACTCTTTCTAGTTTCCCCCCACCCTCTTCACCTAGTACTTCACTTCTTTTTGGTTCTAATCTGACTCTTGTAATTTTGTAAGTGTCTACTCATACAAATGGAATCATAAACCACGTGGTCTTTTCCGTCTGGCTTCTTCAGTTGAGCACAGCGTTTTCGGGTTCATCCGTGCCGCACCATGTATGGGTCTGCATTCCTTTTCATTGCCAAATAATATTCCATTGTATGTTCGTTCAGACCACATTTTACTTTATCCATCCAGCTGATGAACATTTAGGTTTTTTCCACTTTTTTTTTTTGAGACAGAGTCTTACTCTGTCACCCAGTCTGGAGTACAGTGGCAAGATTTTGGCTCACCGCAGCCTCCGCCTCCCAGGATCAAGTGATCCTCCCACTTCAGCTCCCTAGGGACCACAGATGCATGCCACCATGCCCGACTAATTTGTGTATTTTGGTGGAGATGGGGTTTTGCTGTGTTACCCAGGCTGGTGTGAAATTCCTGAGCTCAGGCGATCCACCTGCCTTGACCTCCCAAAGTGCTGGGATTATAGGTGTGAGCCATCACGCCTGGCCTGTTTCCACTTTCGACTGTCACGACAAATGCTGCTGTGATTTTTTTTTTTTTGAGACCGAGTTTCACTCTTGTTGCCCAGGCTGAAGTTCAGTGGTGCAATCTCAGCTCACTGCAGCATCCACCTCCTGGGTTCAAGTGATTCTCCTGCCTCAGCCTCGGCCTCGGCCTCCCGAGTACCTGGGATTACAGGTGTGTGCCAGCCACCATTCCTGGCTACTTTGGTTTTTTTAGTAGAGATGGGGTTTCACCATTTTGGTCAGGGTGGTCTCGAATTCATGACCTCAGATGATCTGCCAGCCTCGGCCTCCCAAAGTGCTGGGATTACAGGCGTGGACCACTGCGCCCGGCTGCTGCTGTATTTGTGTAGAGTTATTTTTTAAACATTTGTTGTGCATCTCCTGTATGCCAGGCTCTGTGTTAGGTTTTTGAGGGATAAAAGATGAATAAGGGAGTGCACAGTAATTTTTCACACCGTGAGGAAAATGTAAACAGAGACCTGTAGCATGTGCTGGAATGAGAGGGACAGAGCGGTGTGCTGTGTTTGGGGGCAGTAGAGACTCCACAGTGTTTCTTCTATAGCACTGTTTATCTCCCTTCTCCCGCCTTGACCAGACTTTCAGGTCTAATTCCATGCTCATCTCTAAATCATCACTGGCTACCATAGTTCTCAACACATGGTCCCAATCCTAGCCACTCTCTGAGGAGGTCTGCCAGTTTAAAATCATTTTCAGAGGTTAATACAGTATTTGCCTCTTTGACCATGTTGACATTGCACTGAGTGTGTAAAATCAGGCGAGTAAAGTGGCTAGTGCCTTAGCATAAATGGAGACATCATCACCCAGTTATACTGTAGTCACTGCATTCTTCACCAGCACTCACTCAGAAGACAAAGGCCAGTTTCATTTCTGAATGTCATTGATAAAATAATTTTAGTAAGTCTCAATGTGCCTTTTTAGTATCCTGTGTGAGTACGCATGCTCACACAGAAAGCACTTCTGCTGCGTACTGAAGTACAGTGGTTGGTTCAAGGAAAAACACTTGTGCGGTTGTTTGGGTTGTGGGCGGAGCTAGCCACTGCTTTCCAGGAACACTCTTTTTATGTGTTAAGACTGACTGACTCACAAACCATAATTACTCATATTTGGGTAAAATGAACTAAATAATGAAAATGAAAACAACTGACAGTATTTGTTGCAAATGATAAAATTCAAGCTCTCAAGTGAAAATTAGAATTTGAAAAAGTTACATTTACCACCAGGAGTTTGACAGCTTCCTAGTACTTAAAAATTTTACTTGGCCGGGTACGGTGGCTCATGCCTGTAATCCCAGCACTTTGTGAGGCCGAGGCAGGAGGATCACCTGAGGTCGGGAGTTCGAGACCAGCCTGACCAACATGGAGAAACCCCGTCTCTACTAAAAATACAAAATTAGCCGGGTGTGGTGGTGCGTATCCGTAATCCCAGCTACTCAGGAGTCTAAGGCAGGAGAATGGCTTGAACCCAGGAGGTAGAGGTTGTGGTGTGCCGAGATCGTGCCATTGTACTCCACCTGGGCAACAAGAGTGAAACTTCATCTCAAAAAAAAAAAAATTTCTTTACTGAGGAGATCAGTGGTTTTATATATCTATATATATATAATTTTTTTGATATTGTACGGTGAAATTTTTCAGTATTTGGTAGAACAGCACAATCCAGTGGACTAGTATTTTCCAAATGATTAATGCATGCTGTTACAAAAACGGGTGGAAGATCCATTCAGAGAGCCATACAGACCATGAGATTTTATTTGTCTTTTTTGAGTCAGAGTCTCACTCTGTCGCCCAGGCTGTAGTGCAGTGGCGCAATCTCAGTTCACTGTAACCTCCACCTCCCAGGTTCAAGTGATTCTGCAGCCTTAGCCCCCAAGTAGCTGGGATTACAGGCATGTGCCACCGTGCCCAACTAATTTTTCTATTTTTTTCATAGAGAGGGGGTTTCATCATGTTGGCCAGGCTGGTCTCAAACTCCTGACCTAAAGTGATCTGCCTGCCTTGGCCTCCCAAAGTGCTGGGATTACAAGTGTGAGCCACCACGCCCAGGCGATAGACCAGTACATTTTAATGCAACCGTGTAAAAATCTTAATATGATTTCATATTCCACATTGTAACTAAACTTCAAAAGTTATTGAATTTTGGAGTAGTGTTAACCCCATAATTATATATAGGTTGTGATTTTAAAAATACATATATTTAACCAAAAAAACACAGCAGCCGGCTAAATGCAGATGTGAGAATTTAGCTGACTTGTTTTAAGCCAGCCAGCCAGCAAAAAGGTTTGCAAAAATATAAAGCAATGTCACTGTTCTCACTAAATCTTTGTGTTTGTAATGAGTTTTTAATTATTTTAAGGAATTAATAATTTGTAGGTTTCTCTGTTTTAATTTCTGTATGATAAATATGAACAGACACAGCCCACACACACAGACCCTCCTGGGAGTTTTCCGTAATTTTTAAGAACATCGATTACTGAGACTCACGAGTTTGAGACCCACTGATCTCATATATACGCCTGTTTCACTGATTCTCAGATACAGTTTAAGGTACATGTTATCATCATTGTTAGTAATGGACTTCATCGTGTAAAAAATATTTTTTTAACAAAAAATTTGATTTTCTTATTTTTACTTTTTTAAAATTCAGGAGCAGTATTTTTCCTTAAGACCTGACCTGAAGACGAAAAGCTATGGAAATATCAGTGAGCGTGTTGAATTGAGAAAGAAGTTGGGTTGTAAATCATTTAAATGGTATTTGGATAATATATACCCAGAGATGCAGATATCTGGGCCCCACGCCAAACCCCAACAACCCATTTTTGTTAACAGAGGGCCAAAACGACCGAAAGTCCTTCAACGTGGAAGGGTAAGAAAGCAGTCTTTTCCAGGTGTCTTATGAAAAGCATTTGATATGAAAAGTTTTGAAGTGTCCATAAGCTATAACAGATGACACTGTGGATTTAACAGAGTCTAATGACAGACTTCAGCTTGCCTTTCATTATATTCTGTTTATGAGAACTTCCTCTACGCAAGTGTAGGACCTCAAGTGTAGATCCTTGCCTTGCCGGCATAGTTGCCTTCTGTGAGGCTAAGTTATGTGACAGTTTCCAAGAGTGCAGAGGCACATGGGAATACACCCTGGACAGAGGTCATGGACGTGTCAGAGGACAGGCCAAAAAGGAAAACAAGTGGAGCATGGGGCAGTGATCTGCTGTTTGCTCTTAGTTCTGGGAACCAAGTCACAAATAGAGCAGAGGTGGTAGTGAGGGCCAGAGTGGGGGAATGGGGTGGGATTTCACGTCTGGTGTTCCCAGAAGTCACCTGAGCTCAGCAGAAAGCACATTCATCAACCACATTTCCTTAGCTGTCTTTGTGTCTTAAACTCATTACAGTTATATAGTCACAGGGATCCGGCCAGAAAATCATCCCTTTCTCCTGAGTCATCTCTTAGAGTTGGCTTCTGAAAGCTAAGGGCATCTACTGTCTGTGTTGCCCAGTGTCCCTTCTTTTATGAAGAAGGCACTTCTGCCAGAACAGTGCCAACTCTCCCTCAGTGGCTGGAGGAAGCCTAGAGCTTTCCCTCCTCTTCTCTCTATAATAAGACAAAAACAACAAAAATAAAACAAAAACCCAGCATCCAGATGTTTAGTATTAGGTATTTTTCTCTAAGTCAGAGAGAGCAGTGTGTGCCCATGTAGTTGATCCCTTACCATTATTACTTCTTGCTGTTTGTCTCGCCCTCACAGTTCTGCGATAGCTGTCATCTGTGCATCTCCAGTGTAGCCTGCATATTGCATTTCATTGGGTCCTTTTTTACACATGTTGTTCTCATATCCCTGACTTCATTTGAAAGTTCTTTAGGGCAGGGATGACATTTTAATTTCCTTCATCTGCTATAGATTAGTAAACATGTATATGTAGCTAGAATTCGTAGCTGACACTGCCTGCATGTTAAAATTGCTAATAACTTTTGGAGTTATAACTTTTGTCTATCTTGATGCTCCTATGTTCTGAGGCTAGAACTTAGGAATTAAAAATGCATATCTTGGAATTCGTACCTCCAGAATAACCTTTCACATTTCGCCCGGAACCACCTCCAGGCTTGGGAGGCGTCTCTGGGATTGCTTCCCGCATTCTGAGCTGAGTGCCTTCTTTTACAGCTCTATCACCTCCAGACCAACAAATGCCTGGTGGCCCAGGGCCGCCCAAGTCAGAAGGGAGGCCTCGTGGTGCTTAAGGCCTGTGACTACAGTGACCCAAATCAGGTGAGTGAGGCCTCAGAGCTCACAGCCAGTGCCTGCAAGGTGGCTTCCAATGAAGGGAAGCTGCTGGCAGTCACTCCTGAGGACATCAGTGTCTACTATTCTGGCTTTTCTTAACCCATTTATGTGTAGTGTTCCGTTATTGGAACACTAAGCTTATGGGGCTTATCTGTATCCTACTGCTCAAGGTCATCGCCAGGGTCTGATTTTTCACCGAAAAAAATTACAGCCTTCGGCATAGATGGGTTAAAAGGATGAGAGTGGCCTTAGATGACACCTCAGTCGGCTACTTTTGTCTCCTTTGTATGTTTTTCCTACCTCTGCTCATTGTCATGGATTATTTTAATTGTTTACACCATTATTTGTACTTTCTAATATTATAGGGAATAACTTATGACTTACGAGCCATAGGAATTTGTTAGAAATGGCCAAGGGAAGCACTACAGAGTTTCAGTTCATTCCATTCACATAATTTAATTTCAGCTTATGTATGTCTCCTAAATAATATTAAAATGGGCCTAAAAATCAGCAAATAACTTGGACTTCAATTGAGAACAGCAATTTCAAACTCATTTGTGTCTGATAAAATAGCATAATGTAACAGCAGTCTAATCTCATAAACTGTAGTGTCTCATTTCTATTTCAGTGGTGGGTTGGTGTCACTCAGAAAAAACAAACCAAAAAAAAGCCACTTGGACTTTTTGGTAAATAATGTATACTGTGACATTTCTTCAAACATTCTCCCAGAAGAGTTCATGCCCACTGTCTCAGGTGATACATGTGTTGAAAACATGGTTAAAAAGGGATTTCTGGGGCACAGCGCGGTGGCTCATGCCTGTAATCCCAGCACTTTGGGAGGATCATGAGGTCAGGAGTTCAAGACCACCCTGACCCACATGGTAAAACCCCATCTCTACTAAAAATACAAAAAAAATTAGCTGGGTGTGGTGGTGCGTGCCTGTAATTCCAGCTACTTCGGAGGCTGAGGCAGGAGAATTGGTTGAACCTGGGAGGCAGAGGTTACAGTGAGCCAAGATTGTGCCACTGCACTCCAGCCTTGTGACAGAGTGAGTCTCCGTCTAAAAAAAAAAAAGGAATTTCTGTGCAGCTTCTGGGTAGAAGAGGTGGCAGTATTGTGGAAGTATTAAAATTGTGGTGACATTTCAGTGGTGTAGGTCACAGTGAGATGAGAGCTGAAATTTGTTCCAGAAAATATAAGTTGGGGTGATGGAGTTACCCTATTCTAAATGTACTGTGTTGTCACTTTATAGTTGTGCTAATTCTGTAGCCACCAGTCACATTTCAAGTGTACAATAGCTGCATGTGGCCAGTAGGTCCCTAACTGTACACAGGCTATGAAACAATAGCAGTGTTGCAGAAAATTCTCTCTCAGCTCCCTATGACTCTGATCGAGGGTCTTCATGTTCGTGAACACTGCACACATCCATTTGGAGTCTGTAAGTTGAAGCAATGAGTAAATAGGAGAACAGAAGAGAACAGATTCCTTTTGAGTGTAGTGATGGCGCATGTTGGAGAGTGAGGTGTTCATTGCACTTGCCATGTCACCCAGGTGTGTTCCTGAAGATTATCTGTGATTCAGTCTATGCACTTCCTAACTGCCCCACCGATGAGGAATCAATGAAAATGGCAGCCATGTGCCCTTCTGTCTCCAGAGGGTCAGCCAGAGGCTTGTTGGGCTCCTCTATCACCTACACAGTCCAGGAATTAATGTTGTTCAGTCTTAAAATTCGTTATCTAAATTTAATGTTTTTTTCTTCTCTAGATCTGGATTTATAATGAAGAGCATGAATTGGTTTTAAATAGTCTCCTTTGTCTAGATATGTCAGAGACTCGCTCATCAGACCCACCACGGCTCATGAAATGCCACGGGTCAGGAGGATCCCAGCAGTGGACCTTTGGGGTGAGGAGTGCTCGGTGATGTTGGGAGAATGTGCAGAGACCCACAAGGTTGAGTGAGGGGTGCAGCAGATGAACTCATTTTCTACCTTGGGGGTGATCTTCTCAGATTGCAGTACAGTGGTCCCCCTGAGTGGATGCCTGAAACCATAGGCAGCACAAACCCTGTATATACTCTATTTTTTTTCTAGAGAGATACCTGTGATAAAATTCATCAGTTAGGCACAGTAAGAGGTTCACAACAATAACTCTAAAGAACAGAACAGTTACAACAGCATACTGTGGTTGTGCAGTGGCTCCCACCTGTAATCCCAGCACTGAGAAGGCTGAGGTGGGAGGATTGCCGAAGCCCAGCAGCCTGTTGGTTTTCTCTATAAAAACAAATCAATATACTATAATACAAATTGTGATTGTGGTCAGAAAGTATCTTACTGTACTGTATTGCAGGTAACAAAGAGCAGAAAACTAATCTAAGAGGGACTAAACTAAGAGGGACTATTATATCCCTTAGTCTGAATTCTTAAATGTTCCATATCTCTTCTGGATTTCCACGTTTTGCCAGTAATTGGCAGTATTTTTTTTCTTGCTACCTTTTTTTTTTTTTTTTTTCCAGAAAAACAATCGGCTATACCAGGTGTCAGTTGGACAGTGCCTGAGAGCGGTGGATCCCCTGGGTCAGAAGGGCTCTGTCGCCATGGCGATCTGCGATGGCTCCTCTTCACAGCAATGGCATTTGGAAGGTTAAGGTGGATGCTGTGGCGGGAGCAGTGCTTCATCAGGCGTTGCCTCCTGTGTGGAGTTTGGGGCTTTAGGAACGCCTGGGTTGCGTAGAGTCGAGTCATCTTAGAGAGGATGACATTTCCCTGTCCTCCCGGAGATGCCTGGGCGTGTTAGCAGAGGTGACACGCGTCTGACAGAGATGGGAGCTCTGAGTGTCCACAGGTGAAGAAGTTGGTTTCACCCAGACATTAAGGTTATTTCTGAGCTGCTGTTAAGGAATTTCTTGCTTATAGAGGCAAACCAGAATATCATTTTAACCCTAGAATTGGGCTTGTACAGAAGGATAAAACCCAGGAAAATGGGTATTTCTATTCAGATTTATTTATGCCTCTTTTTAATCTTCTTTAATGATGCAGTGGTTTTTATCTGATCAGGAACTTGTCATGATTTCCTTTCTCAGACTTCATAGGAGATAGATAGTGCTTAAAAAAAAAAAACTATTATTGTTTAGTATGTTGTGAGTAGACCATCTAAAAGAACTGAAGCTACATTATGTTTTTAACTTCAGAAGGCATCATTTATAAGACAGTATAAGAGGCAGTTAAGTATTATAAATTATTTTGATGAATTATGATACTATCTACATTTAAAATAAACAATCCTTTTGATTATTTAGGATATTTTGTCTTGTATTGGGGCCTCTGGTCTGAGGTGTGTTGCATGCTCTTGGAGTCAGCTGATGACCCAGTAGGCTCGGTAGAGTCCTCTGCCTCTCAAGATGCATCCCAGTTTCTTAGCTTGAGCTGTGTGACCTTAGATACTGGACATCAAAGTTGCCTGTGCAGCACCCAAGAGAGCTGTTCAACAGGCAGTTGGATATAGAGGTCAGACTCCTGGAAGATGTAGCTCAATTAGAGATAATACATTTGGGAATCACTTGCATATACTAAAAATTCTGAAATACAAGGTGAATTTTCCTCCCAAACCACATCTTAAGAGGAGAGACGGTCTCATATTGCAGAGTATACACTCAGATATTTTATCTGAACCACAAAACAGTTTAAGTACCACATCCTAAATATTTTATCTGTGATGTGATTTGAAAGGCCAGGATGGTACATGTGGAAAACAAGAGCAGCAAGATGGTAGATTGAAATCCAACAATGTCAGTAATCACATTAAGTGTAATGAATGTAAATGCCACAGTTAAAAGGCAGATTAGATAAATATGCAAGATCCAACTATATGCTGCCTATAAGAAACTCACTTTATGAATACATTAAAAATAGAAGGATGGTAAGATAGATGAAAGACATCTGAATAGATATATTAGACAAAGTAGATTTCAGCACAGAGAATAGTACTACAGATGATATAGAGCATCATTTCATGAATAAAAGGTTCAGCTTAATCCCAGTTTTATCAGTTTTTGTGGCCTTTATTTTGAAGTTCTGTTAAAACTTGTGCAAGAAGTACACCCATCCACAGTTGCAGTAAGAGATTTCAACACACCTCTCAATAACTGATAGAACAAGTACACAGAAAAACAGTATAATGTAGAAACCTTGAACAATACTGTCAACCATTGTGGCCTAATTGACACTACCCAACAACAGAATACATGGAACATTTACCAAGATAGACCATATTCTGGGATATTGAGCAAGTCATGCCAAGTATAATATAAAGCAATAACAGACACTTGGAAAATCTCCAGATATTATAAAAAACTAGCACACTTCCCAGTACCTTAAGGGTCAGAGGAAAAAATCAAAAGGCTATTTTGAACTGACCAAAAATGAAAATACAACAGTGTGTGGCATGCAGCTAAAGCAGTACTTGGAGGTTTTATAGCATTAAGCACCTATATTAGAAAAGGATACAAGTCTCAATGACTTTAGCTTCCATCTTAACAGAAAAAGAGCAAGTTAGACAAAGAGGCAGAAATGAAATATTAAATACCAGAACAGAAATGAATGAAACAAAACAGAGAAAATAAAGCTAAAAGCTGATTTGAGAGATCAGTAAAACTGATAAACCTCTAGCCGAAAAAAAAAAAATAACACAGAAATTACTAACATCAGAAATGAGTTGCAAGCGCACTAGAGTCTACAGATAATAAAAAAGGATGCTGAACGGCAGGAGCTCTGATTCCCTGCTGGTGGGAGTGCAAAGTGGTACAGCCACTTTGGCAAGTTTCTTCGTAAACATACTCGTACCCTGTGATCCCGCAGTTGCGCTCCTTGGTGTTTAGCCAAAGGAGCTGAAAACCACACGAAGCCCGCACATGGATTTTACAGCAGCTGCATTCATGACTGCCGAAACCTGGAAGCTAGATGTCCTTTAGTGCATGCATGGATGAACTATAGTGAACTATAGTACATTCAGACCATGGAACATTCAGTGCTAAGAAGAATTAAGCCTTAAACCTTGAAAAGTCATGGAGGGATGTTAAGAATATATTATTCAGTGAAAGAAGCCAATCTGAAAAAGCTATGATTCCAACTATATGACATTCTGGAAAAGGCAAAAACACAGAGGCAAAAAGATCACTGCTTGCTAGGGGTTATGGGAGAATGTGATGTCAACTTGACTGAGCTAAAGAATGCCCAGGTAGCTGGTAAGACATTATTTCTGTGGGTGTCTGTGAGGATGTTTCCAGAGGAGATTACGTTTGAATCAGAAGACTCGGTAAAGAAGATCTGCTCTCAGGAATGTGGGTGGGCACCACTCAATCCATTGGGAGCCTAAATAGAACGAAAAGGTGAAGGAAGGGTGACTTGCTCACTCCTTGGAGCTAGATGTCAGTGTTTTGGCTCTCAGGCCTTTGGACTCAGACGAGGACCTACATCATTGGCTCAGGAGGCCTTCACCTTGGGCTGGAACACTACCACTGCCTTTCCTGGGCTTCCAGCTTGTAGGCAGTAAATCATAGAGCATCTCAGTCCCTCATAATAAATCTCTTTCTATATTTCCATACATCCTATTGGTTCTGTTTTTCTGGAGAACCCAGATAATAGAAGGAGGGAGGGATGAGCAGATAGAGCACAGAGGATTTTTATATCCTACATGAATATAGAAGAAAAATTTCCTTATAAAAATTAGCAAATCAAATCCAGCAACATATAAAAAGGATGATACATTATGAACAAATTGCTTTTAGTCCAGGAATGCAAAGATGGTTTAACATTGGAGATTTGATTAATATAATTTACAGTGTTTGTTAGTAATACAAGGGGAAAGGCATATGCGACCTTGCAGGAAAAAAATGTAGAAAATTGACAGAATTCAACACCCACTTATGATAAAAACTCAGCAAACTAGGAATGGAAAGAAAATTCCTCAACCTCATAAAGTGCATCTGTGGAGATACTACAGCTAGCCTCATGTAATGTGAAAGATGATTGGGAATAAGGCAAAGACACCTGTTCTTACCTCTCCTAGCCAGTGCAATACAGCAAGAAAAAGAAAGGCATGTACATTAGGAAGGAAGAAGTAAAAGTGTATTTATTTGCAGACTATGATCAAGTATGCAGAAAATCGTAGAGTGTCTTCAAAACTATTAGACATAGTAAGGAATTTATCAGGACCACAAAAAAATCAATATAAAAATGAATTGTTCTTCATATTGGCAACAAACAGCTCAAAACTGAAGTTCATGGTATTATCATTGCAGTTTACAATAGCATCCAAAATATAAAAATTTAGGGTACATATGACAAAATATGTGTAAGATTTGTATGATGAAAAGTAGAAAACGTTGCTGAGAAAAGTTAAGATTAGAGAACTATATTACATTCATGATTGGAAGACTGAGTGTTAATAAGATGTTAATTCTCCACAATTTGATCTGTGAATTTACTGCTACTTTTAATCAAAATCCCAGTATGCTTTTTGTGGAAACTGATAATTTTAAAATTGATACGGAAATGCATAGGCCTAAGAGTGGCCAGAATAATTTGAAAAGAATAAAGTTGGAGGATTTACACTAATTCAAGACTTACTATGCTGCTGACTTAAGGATAATGAATTGATTGGTGGAAGAGAAATAGACCCAGACATATATGGCCAATTGATTTGCAGCAAAGGAGCCGATAAATGCAGTGGGGAACAGAAAATTATTACAACACATGGTGCTGTAAGAATCTGATATCCCTGTGGACAAAAAATTACCTGTGACACCTCTGCTACCACCTTGTACCACAAATAAACATTATTTTAAGATCTAAACATAAAAACTAAAATTATAAAGCTTTTAGAAGAAGATGTAGGAGAATATCTTCATGACTTTAGGGTAGGCAAAGATTCCTTAAGCACTCATTAAAGAGCCAGCCATTGGCCAGGGATGGTGGCTCATGCCTGCAATCCCAACACTTTTGGGAGGCTAAGGCAGGAGAATCGCTTGAAGCCAGAAGTTTCCAGACCAGCCTGGTCAACATAGTGAGAACCTGTCTGTTTGAAAAAGAAAAAAGCCAGGCACAGGTGGTTCATGCCTGTAATCCCAACGCTTTGGGAGGCCAATGTGGGAGGATTGCTTGAGCTCAGGAGTTAAGAGACCAGCCTGGGCAACATATTAATAAAACTTTTTTGAAAAAAAACTAGCCATAAAATATTAACAAATTAAACTTCAGAATTAAGCTTCTGCTTATCAAGACACCACTGAGAAAATGAAAAAAGTCACAGAACTATATTCAAGGGTTTGTGTTTAAAATTCAACACTAAAAAGAACCCAATTTTCAAAATGGACAAAATATTTAGATACTTCACCAAAGAAGTATAAATAGCTCAGTGTATGAAAAGGTGTTCAATATCATGGTCACCAAAGAACTGCAAATTAAAACGACATTCAGATGCCACTTCACATCCATTAAAATGGCTGAAATAAAACAGACTGACATGGGGGCTTCTCAGGAAATTGTAGAAAAGGTGGCAGCACAGCTTTCAAATTTTGCCCAGTCAACATCTACATAAAATTAGAGCAACTAGACAGACAAACCCAAAACCCATGGATGGTATTTTCAAAGTAGGTAGGTGCAAGGTAGCTGCGAATTCTCTAAGGTGGGTAGGAGGAGCTGGACGCCCGAGACCTGTGTGCCCGAGACCAGGCAAGCTCCAGGCAGATGGTGTGTTGAGGAGTGGAGAATAGGAAAAGGCAACGGTGGCCGCAGGAAACTGGGGAGTCAGAGCAGCCAACACCGTGGGGTCGTCTGCCTCTCCAGCAGTGGGAGCAGCAGGCGTCCCTGGGGGAGGGAGGGCTTAGGGGATGAAGGCTTCTAGTTCCTTTGAACTCTTGAAACTGCCAGGGCATGGAGTCGAAATTGAGCAAGACAGGGATAAATAGAGAAACAGTAGTAAGTGAATAATAGTAAAGAAAAAGGAAAGAGCTTGGAGAAGTAGAGGGAAGTGAAGCCAGCCACTGGCAGGAGTGACCGTAGCTTTAGCAGTGCAGGAAAACAGAAGAGGGAGCTTTGCAAGGCTGGGAAAGCTGTCTGAGCCACGCTCCCCCACGTGGGAAGGCTGTCTGAGCCACGCTCCCCCACGTGGGAAGGCTGTCTGAGCCACACTGCTCCATGTTCAGAAACTCGGTTCCCACCAGAACAGAAGAGGATCAAGGCCAAGTCCCATACAAAGTATAAAAGAAAAGAGCTAAATGACATTTGTATAATGAAAGCACTCCAGAAGGATGTACTCACAGAACCGACCCAAACTGTAATATACTGATTCAAAAATGAGTTTAAGGCATGAGGAGAGTGACATGAGAGGACTAAATAGAGCGAATCTGAAAACTCAGAATGTGGTGACAGAACTCAAGAAGTGTGAGAAATTAATAGATAAGGAGGAACATGGGGGCCAAGAAATAGTAAGGCCTTTAAAGAGGTAGAATTTGACAAGAAGGAAACATTTTAAACAAAAGAGACAAGTTCTGCTCCTGGCCAAGGAGGAGTAATGGGATCTGGGCTTGTCTTCCTGGAGTAAAAAACTAGAGACTTAGAAAAACATGCAGCACCCCTTCAGCCAGTGGTTCCCAGGGAGGCTAAGGTGGCTGGAATTTTGCATCGGAGGATGAAGGAGAGGAAGGAGCTAAACAGAGAGAGGGCCCAGAACCTGCACAGGGGTCCCTGGAGTCTGGCTGTATTTCAGTCTGTCTGCGGAAACTTACGAGGCTGGGAGACTATAAACAACAGCTCCCAAAGATCAGGTGGGGATGGAAATCATTGAGGCTGCCACCAGCCAAGTAACAGGCCCCACTGAGTATTCAGGGTGCCCAGGGTATTCCCTGAAGGGCCATGCCTTAGGAGTGGGGCTGGACTTGGCCACGGATAAAGGCACTGTCAGACTTATTGGAAAAGTGCTTCAAGAACAAGCTTCAAAAGGAAGAAACCAGTTGGGCGCAGTGGCTCACGCCTGGAATCCCAGCACTTTGGGAGGCCGAGGCAGGCGGATCACCTCGAGAGCAGCCTGGCCAACATAGTGAAACCCCATCTCTACTAAAAATAACATGAGCCGGGCATGGTGGCGCATGCCTGGAATCCCAGCTACTCAGGAGGCTGAGGTGGGAGAATCGCTTGAACCCAGGAGGTGGAGGTTGCAGTGAGCCGAGATCACGCCGCTGCACTTCAGCCTGGGCAACAGAGCGAGATTCCAAAAAAAAAAAAAAAAGGAATATAACTGTCACCAGGAGAAAAAGGTGATTTAAACAGGCCTAGAGAGTTCGATTGGGAGTGGGGAGCGGATCCCAGAGAGCCCTGGCCAGCCCCACCGCCACCATGGCCTAGTTGCCATCACACCCTGGGAGGAGCCTAGGCACCGTCACCCCCGCTGGAGGGGACAAGAAGGTCGTCACAGCAAAGGTTTTGGGAACAAACGGTTCAGGGTAAGGAACAGATATGGTTTCACACCAAGGAAGATGTTTCTTCACCAGACTGCCGTGAAGGAGGAGGACCCTGGCAGCGC